AACCATTTCAATCAGATAACTATTTCAATCAGATAACTATTTCAATCAGATAACTATTTCAATCGGATGACTATTTCAATCGGATGACTATTTGGTAAACGACATTAAGCAAGTAAGAAAGGTCACTGTCAAAGATTGGGGTGCCAAGTCAAAATCCAAGATGGCCACCTATATGTATGTGTAGTGAACTAAGCCTCAGGTCAAAATCTGGCCTTGGGGGCCTTCCTGGGACAAGAACTGTATTTCATTGATTGGAGTCCAGAAACACAAGATTAAGTTCATCCAGAGACTTCCTAAGTGTCCTGCACTGATCAATTGAAAGAACACTCTCTTTTTATTATCATTACTATTTTACAAATGTTTTGATAATCAAAGTGTGTTTAGTTCAAACCATTTTTAAATGTTGAAGTGAACTACTCAATTTAAATCAACTGTGAAACAGTATTAGTGATTTTTAATCCTCATTCAAAGTAGAAATCAAATTGGAATGTGTTACGGAGTAATTCATGCATTTTCTGATCTTCTGTCTGAAATGAGCAAGTTGTGATGTCGGTCAAAGGTCGAAGACAAGTTGTTGGAATGAACTGTCATGTTTTTATATCCTCTCAGACGTAAATAGAGAAGCTGGCACCTGTTTTCCCCCAACTCGTCTAAATATTTCTCTCGTCTGTCTCTAAAACATTTCCAGTCTGTTCCAAAACATTCTTTCTGTTTTTCTGACTTTTAATAACCTCTTACATCACTAAAACACACCTCTGTTTGGTCAATCGACCAATCAGAAACTTCCCAAATGAACCGGAAATAGAACTCTTTAAATGTTGGCACTTCCTAGTTCAAACCAGTCGTGTTGGGAGCTAGTGCAGTCGAGCGCAGTCGAGTTCGGTTCGGAGAGCAAACCGAACAGAGAAGTGCTGGAGAGAACAGGAGTTCCAGACATGATCCAGAGTTCTTCCGAGTCTCGTGGGAATTATGCAATCTTCCACATCTGAGTGGAACTCTGACGGACTCACAACTCATGTGAGCCCAACCGAGAGGTGAACTTGTGTCGGACGGAATACCGACACTACTTCGGACGATTCACAGCTGTTCCTACGGAGACGCTGAAAGGGTGCGTTAAATGGAACTCCGTACCAGTGGAGACACCTGCTACAGGTAAAGAGTTGATTTAACCACCTAAGTGTACCGAGGAGGAAGCTGGGATCTCAACGGAGCGTGCCGTCCTGATACTGACACATTTCCCTCATCCATCTTTTCCTCTCCATTTAAACTTCATTTCCATCTTTAAACTCTTCTAACCTGCTAGCAAATCATTCCAGATATTTTCAGAAATGTCTGTTGTGAAGCAACGGAAAACCATGGCCGTTTGGTTTTCCTGATTGTAAAGCTGATTAATTAAGCTGTTGTTATTTTCAATTTTGCCAAATTAATGTAAATGTTTGATTTTAAACTTTGATTCTGTTAATAAATGACGCATTCATTTGATGGGTCAAAGAAAATTAACGTCTCACGTTACATTTAATTAATTTCAACGCACGATATTATTCAGTCCAGAAAAATGAATGAATCCGTTTAATTTATGAATATATCACAGGTATGTTCACTACATATGTACTATAAATATTGCTTAAAATTGTAGTTTCTTCAAATGAGTGGGGTAGCCGAAGATTGAATTATATTGGCCAAGGCCACCAATAACCACCCCCTGATTCCACCTTTGCACTTTTTGGTGGATAAAACTGCTCCCTCCACTCTCCAGGATCTGTCACTCTGCTACCCGTTTGAACATCTTGCATCAAAAACATTTAGGTTTACTTCATTCTCTGTTCAATTCCAGCCCAGAAAAACACTCATTTCCCAAACTACAAACATTCACTCTTCAAATCCCTCAGCGACGGGGGACATTGGTGTACCGCTTGTCTACTCTGGTGCTGCACTATTGTTCTTTGTTATGAAGTCATCAGGCTCTTACATTTCTTTTGTTCTTGCTGTTTAACGTTGTGTAAGAAAAGGAGCTGAAGGAGGCAGCTGGACATTCAGAAGTGGAGGATCTTTGGACCAATGGACAAACCCAACTCGATTTACTGTAAAGTACAGAAGTACAGTATCTGGCTGTGATGGAGGACACACTGCAGAAAGCTTCTAATCCAGAGCCCAGCCCTGCACCCAGTCCAGTGCCACCTAGTCCAGCACCCAGTCCAATACCCAGCCCACTGCTGGACAGAATTGCTCTGCCTGCAGGCAACCATGTGGAGGTAACAGAACCAACATCCTCAGCTGAGTATGTCAGTCCTGCTTTCTAACCCCTCAATAAATAACACTTTAATGTTGGACATCAATAAAATAAATAGATATGATGAGCTCTGCATTATTTTGAATATTGTACACTTTAAAGTTTACCACCGGTGATCTCACATTCATCAGGTTTTTTTTTTAGTAATAAAGTTTGGTAAATATTCTGGTCACCTGGCATCTTATCGTATCTACATCCTGGTCTTTCCTTTAAAGCACCTGAACGTGAACCAGATCCAGGTGGTGGTCCGACGCTGCTCCACTCCAAACGTAACAGAGGAGACCACCTATTTTATTCCTCGCAACCCTGTGGTGGATGCCGGCACCAACACCGACCCACCAGTGGTCTGCTGCCCTTTGCTGCATAGATTTTGCCCGTGTCCACCAAAAGGCCTCTTTGCCTCCTTGGTTACCAAACGTAAGCAGTGGACAAGCTCATTTTCTGCTCTGGTGCTGTCAGTGCAGCTGATTATTGATGTCTTCTGTAGTCCTTTTGGCAGCTGTACTCTTTGGAGTCGTTTGGTCCATCACAGAGAAAGAATGTCTCCCAGGAGGGAACTTGTTCGGGATCACGATACTTTTCATCTGTGCACTCATTGGTGGCAAACTGGTAGCTCTCATCAGACTGCCCAAACTTCCACCATTCCCACCACTCCTTGGTAAGGTACAATAAATGAGGCATTAACTTTTTTATTTATATTTATGCTGTTTTTAGTATTTTGCTTCAAAACTAGTCAGTATCCAACTAGCCTAGTAAACAGTTGCTCTCAATGAGCGTATACGTCGATGACACTTTATTCTACTCTCTCTCTCTTTTTAATCAAGCTCTTCAAATCAGTACACTAATTTAAACCAGATCCTTTTTCTTCCTTCTTAAATGATTCATGTTTACAAAAGCAAAAGCAAGATACAGTAGTCCCTCATTTATTGCAGGGGTTATGATCCAGACACCCCACACCCCTGCAATAAGGGAAAATTCACGAAGGAGCAATGTTATATTTATTTAAGGGGCGGCTGTGGCTGAGTGGTTAGATCAGTCGTTCTCCAATGCAAGAGTTGGGGATTCGATTCCACCAGCAGTCACATGCCAAAGTGTCCCTGGGCAAGACACTGAACCCCTCATTGCCTCCAATGTGTGTCCCATCAGTGTATGAATGTGATAAAACACTGATTATTCATTGTATAGATCTAGTAGAGTGCTGTATGAATGTGTATATGAGGGCACAGATTGTGCTGTAAAGTGCTTTGAGTATCTCAATAAGATAGAAAGGGGGCTTCGGGTGGCCGGCGCGGGACCGGTGGTCCAATTGAGTGGTCCGATAAAGAGATTAAAAAAGTCCCGGTGTGCTCCAGAGAGTAGCCAGATTGGAAGTCCTCGTGGGCCGGCTACCAGCTCTTGAATTTGCCGATGGGTCTGGAGGTCCGGTTCCCGGTGGGTTCCATGCGGCTCTCTGAATCCGCTGGGCACCGAAGTCATTGCACAGTAATAAGCACAAAACTTTTTCTGATCAGATCTAAACTGTCCCTCTTTGTATTTCAGCAGAAGGCAACTGGGCTTTTAGGCAGGGCACTGTTGGCTTCTGGGAAATATAGTCCTTATGAGCGGGGATACAGTACAGGCTTATTGAGAGAAAACTACAAAATGGTCGCGCCTGTGCCAAGTATTGTATTTTTTCATTAACATTTTACTGTACATTATCCAGTACTGTCCCAATCACATGAGTAATATTAAAGTTCATCATGTGCCGTGTACAATTTTCCCCCCTCGTGTTCAATCTGATTTTGAAAAAAAAAACACGAAACAGCGAGCCTACGAAAGTCGAATCGCAAAGTAGCGAGGGACTACTGTAATATAAAATGTTCCATTCTTAGTTTTTAGTGCATGCTTAATGTGTTTTTCTATTGCTATGCTGGTTATTGTCCTGTACATCTACAGGAATAAGTGGGTTAAATTTAATACCAGTTAGCTCAACTTTATTGTTCTTCACACTGATTTAACTCCTAATACTGTAATAGATGTTTTGTTAGGTTGCACGTTTTAAGCCTAAACATTGCTAAGCTTTAGATCTAAAAAGGAATTAAGAATTTTCCCAGCCTGCTCTGTGGTAAAACAGAACAGACGAGTGTTATTCTTGCTCGGTTGGTGTGTGAGAGGCAGCCTCACAGAACAAATGCTCATTTTTCCTCTCTGCTGGGCTGCAGGCATGCTGCTGATGGGCTTCCTGCTGAGGAACATCCCGGTCGTAACTGATGGGGTGTACATCAACTTCAGGTGGTCTGCTTCTCTGAGGAACATCGCTCTGGCCATCATCCTGGTCAGAGCTGGTCTGGGACTAGATCCAAAGGTACAATCACCTCCTGTAGCGAGACCTGGTGTCAGATTGATGGATTGTAAAACAACTTGTTCCCAGGATTTAGAAATGTTTTTCAACTTGGTATAAAAATGTTGCTCTATGATCAGGTGAACATTTATACAAATTCTCCTAAAGTCCTCTGGAGTGATTAGTGATGCAAATGATAGATTTCCTAAGGTTGTGTGTTCAACGACATAAACTGAGAACATCTTATGTTGAGAAAAGACAAAGTTGTAGCTCTTTAGATAAAATAACAAATAAAACAATATAGTTTGTAAATTCTCCGGCTTCGAAGGTAGATATCAATTCATTTTGGATCTCAGTCACTCCTCTCTTTGGTTGATGTTACTAATCTTTTCTGTGCAGATAAAACTGTGCATCATTTCACAGAGTTTGATCCGCTGGAAGCGATTGTTCATGAAACCGTTTCTATTTCATCCGTCAGGCTCTGAAGAAACTCAAAGCGGTGTGTGTACGTGTTGCAGCTGGGCCCTGCTTGATGGAGGCCTGCACCGCAGCTCTGGTCTCTCACTTCCTCCTGGGCTTACCCTGGGTGTGGGGATTCATCCTTGGGTGAGCAGAACAACCTCAGTGTTTCCTCTTTTGGTATGATACATGTCTGTAACCATCAGTAGAGTTATTTAAGAAAGCTATAGCAAATAATCCGTCCTGTCTCCATGCCAGCTTTGTGCTGGGTGCTGTGTCTCCGGCGGTGGTGGTTCCCTCCATGCTGATGCTGCAGAAGAATGGCTATGGCGTGGAGCAGGGCATCCCCACCCTGCTGATGGCTGCTGGAAGCTTTGATGACATTCTTAACATCACGGGGTTCACCACATGCTTGGGCATGGCCTTCTCCACAGGTAATGTGTGTGAACGGAAAGAATAATGCAAGCTTGTGCTTTTTGAAATGCAACGCCAACTTTAGTCCCGGGCAGCAGCAGCAGCAGGTGGTGAACACTGAGATGCATTAAAAATAAATGTGTAGTTTGTCATGAGAACAGCAGAGGGTGCAAGTGAGCAGATACATATAAGAGATGTTCCATTGATCTGTGTAAAAACATCTAGAACCAGTCTCTGTGGCACAGTGTTGACCCTCATTTTACTAAATGTAGGTAAAACAATACATTTATTTGAAAGGACTCACAGCATAACATTCAAAAACCTTACAGACTATCTGCATAACCAGTTTTGTAATTCAGTTTATTTTATTTTTAACCTAATTAAACAATGAAACAAACCATCCACTTACTGTATTTTCCTGCTGAAGTTACAAGTCATGCTTTCCCTCCCAGGCTCCACCTGGTATAACCTCCTGCGAGGCGTGATGGAGGTGGCAGGAGGGATGGTGGCTGGGATTCTCCTCGGCCTCCTCATTCAGTACTTCCCTAGCGTTGATCAGGTACGTGATCTCACACAAGCTTGTTTAATGCTGCCCGATCATTCCTACACAACTTAGCATCACAGTCTCTGAGAATTTGTTGAGGATGACTCTCAGCTACTACCACATCAAATTTTAGCTCAAAATCTGTGACATTAACTGAGTTATAGCCATACTGGTGTTTGCTAATGTTGATTAGCTGTGGCAGCTCCTTTGAACTGCGTTGATCCCAAACATCCAGTGATTACTTGTTGCCAATTTCCACAAATTCTGTCCAGTAGTTCATGAGATATTTTGCTAACAGACAGACAATATTGATTTGAACAGGTAAAAGTTTTAAGGAAAGACGTTGCACAATGTGTTGCACTCGGAGTATGTGTTGAAAATGACTTCAAGCTACAACCACAACACATATTAGCTCAATATCTGTGAAATTGGCCAAAAAGCTACAGATGAGTGAGCACAGACTCAGAGAAGAACATCATCGCCCCTTCAGTGATGGGCGATAATAAAGAGGTTCCCCTGATCTGAACTGTTTAATGTTTTCACCTACCTGTTGTCTGTTAAATTATTATTAACCTTTAATTAACCAGACAAATCCCATTGAGATCACATATGTCTTTTGCAAGGGAGGCCTGGGTCTGAACGCGGACTAACATGCATGTTTTTGGTAAACAAAGCTTTTTACATGACTCACCTTCATGGTATTGAAAGTTTTCCTGTTGTTTATCTCTTGTAGAAACATGTGGTGATGAAGCGCTCCTTCTTGGTGTTGGGTCTGTCCGTCTTTGCCGTGTTCGGCAGCAGCGTCGCAGGCTTCCCAGGCTCCGGAGGCCTCTGCACCTTGGTGTTGGCGTTCCTGGCTGGTCTGGGCTGGAGAAGCGAGAAGGTATACAAAAACATATCAACACGTATAAACCATGTTTCTAAAGCATTCAGCACACTGTCTATGTTTAGTGTTGAAGTCTGAGTGTTTTATGTCACTAGAGTAGAGAAGAATTCTGATCAGTTCAACACAACCATACAACAAATCAGTCCTCTTAAAGCAGTGGTTCTCAAACGGAGTCAGCGAGCCGGTGCTTGGGGTCTGTAAAAAAATAAAATATATATATATATAAAATAAATTATATATATATATATATATTATTATTATATTATATATAAAAGTATATATAACGTTTTAAAGTAGTTTTTGATGATGTTCATTTTTTCAAAACTGTAATTTTAGGAACTTGAAATAAAAAAAGTGTGTTAATAGTGACTTGAATGAAAAATACCTCATGTTTAAAAGTATAAAAATTGTATTAACACTATTGAAGAACAGGTCTTAAGTATTTATGTTACACAAATATTTCCATTGCATTAAAGACACAAATTGCAGAAAATTATTTTATAAACATAAGGATTATGAGGGGTCCCTGAACCCAAAAAGTTTGAGAACCCTTGTCTTAAAGTGTGTCATCAGTGTGCTGCAACAGGTCAGACTGGGCTCTGTTTTGTATTTGACTAAAGGCGCATGTGGAGGAAGTGGTGGGGTGGGTGTGGGACGTATTTCAGCCGCTGCTGTTCGGCCTGATCGGCGCTGAGATTCGGCTGTCTGAGCTGGAGGGACACACAGTTGGTAAGACGACGACACAAAGCTGTGAAAATAACACTGTTATCTTTGTGCAAGATTCAAATGCCACCGTATGAGTGCATGTAAAAGTATTTGCATAAACAAAAAAGACATGGGGTGCTCTGCTTTGTCCTGTAAAGACTGAATGACCTGTCTGTGCGCTCCTGTCATTTACTTTCATATTAGTCAGGCCACTTAGGTTTCCTGAGAAAACAGAGTTTACATGTCCAAAAAGCTCAGTCTGCTGATATTTAAGACTTTCATTCATTGTTATGAGTAACTGCACTTTGAGTACTTTTAATTACGGTATATAATGTGGACAAATCTCATAGTGGCAGTGATGTAGACGCACTGTTGGACCTTTGTCTTGATGTTTTTGCAGGTCTGGGCATTGCCTCTCTGCTCATTGCTCTGCTGGTTAGAGTCCTCTTCACCTTTGCGTGCGTGCTGCGAACTGGCTTCAACATGAGGGAAAAAGTGTTCATAGCCCTTGCCTGGATGCCCAAAGCAACAGTGCAGGTATGAAATATACTGCAGGTCAGGGAGCTTTCCTCGCTGGAAAGTTTATTTATTTTCAAAAGGAATTTTTTTTATAAGTGAGGTTGTGAGGATTACTTATGAGCAGTCACTATCTTACCTGTGGCAGGCAGGGAGAGCGTTCAGCTACCAACAGCTACTCAAAGCAGGCAATATTTGAGAGTGAATTTCTGCCATCTGAAACAACTTAAACTCAACTTTTTTAGCTGTTTTTGCAAACACAATATTTGACATGTTTACGAGAGCTGCACAACGGATCAAAAATTACCACAGCAAAATCTGTTTGTGTTCATATTTCAAAGGATTGCCATTATTTGCAGACACAGACTGCATGTCAATAATATTTATTATATAGATGGACTTAGCTAATTTAGAGTGGTCAACCTGCTGAAGCATGCATTGCTAGCATCATGACAGAAGAACAAGAGTGAGGAAAATGTGTTGCAGCCAACATCATCATAGTGATATTCAACATTGTCACTATCCTAAGTTTTCCTTTTATTGTGCTTCCCTAACTTAACATGAGGTGGTTTACTTGTAGCATCCAGCCGTGGGTGAATATCAGTCTAATCCCTATGGAAAAATTACACAGAGTAAGATTAGGAGATTACAAAAGTAAAGACTGTGAGCATCATTGTGGGGAGATGAGAGAATTCCTTTATTATCCTGATCCTTCAGAAAGAACTTTTGATTTGAAATGAGGAATAAACACCTTGAGAGAAGCAGCAGATCTTCAGCAGGATGTTTTACTCAGCCGCCGTGTGCGCAGTCAGCAGAGCAACACCAGTGTGTGATTGAGAACAGGGCAACACTGTGAACAACTGTCACACCAGTGAGGTGCAAAGTGACTTCAAATAGAGTTCCCTCAAAGCTCCAGAGAGGTTTGGAGTTTGGCTTGCTTTAGATGAAAGAAATTAGTTCTTGAGCGCGACTCCACCAAACTGAGATCGCTCTGACTGTTGTCTACTTGTGAAAATTCATGACCCACTCCACACAACCACATTAAAAAAACGTATATCCATTAAGTTTCTTTCTAATCGTACATTTCTGCAGTGCACTGTCTTTTTGTCTAAAAATCAGAATGAAGTTCTCCCCTCCCTAAACTCGAACATCCACTCAACCAGTTTACGGAGATGTCATCATTAGAGCCCCAACCCACCCTAACCTCAGGCAGACTAAGAACCATCCAGACACACTGAGGCCCTGTATACACATGAACCATCTCTGGAAACGTTAGCATTTTTCATTTGTTGATTTTGGAAAATTAATCACGTTTACGGATTTTATTAATTTTTTTCCTTCTTTTGGCTGCTTCCTTCAGGAGTCGCCACAGTGAACTAACTCACACCAAGACTTGGCAATGATTTTTACGCCGGATGTCCTTCCTGACACAACCACAGACCACCGAGCTACCACAGCCCTGTGTGGAGCAGAGAGCTGCTATCTAGGGCTCCTGGGGGGAGCAGATGGTGGGGGTTAAGAGCTTTGCTCAAAGGCCCAAAGTTAGTACATGAGGGTGGAAGCAGGTGTGGGGATTTCACTTTTCCCACCTACATTTTGATATGGTCGCTCTGGGGAGTTGAACCGACAATCACAGGTCCACATTTTCTAACCTCTGTGCCACCCCCCACCAAAAATATAGGTTACTGTACTTGTTGAATCCGCTGCCATGCCAGGTCACTTGCTGGCACTGTGATTTACGGATTTCAACAAGACACCCAGTTAATTTGGTTGCAAGCATGAAGAGAGAGTTGCATCCAAAACGATGAACACATAAACCTTTGTTTGGACCGCGGATGAGGCCGAGAGATCAGCACAAACAGCACTCTGCTATCCACCATTGCTAATGTTGCTCATCTACTAAGCAAAAAAAAAAAAAAAAAAACTATTGACTGCAGCTGTCTGTAGTGCATGTAGTGCACATGTGCAATTTCACACTGGTGCCACAGGTTTCCCAGAACTCCCAGTCTGCAAGGTGGTTTCAAAAAGGTTCGGCATCAAAGAAGGTGGGCACTGTTGAGGCGTAAACAAATGGCTGAAACACAGCAGGAATGCTACAGATTCTTTTAAACTTCTGAAACGTTTAGTGCAAGCACAAGGACTTTTTAAGATTTATAAATGCTTTCATGTTTATTTTAGTAATTGCTACTACTTTACATCTGCTGTAGGACTCATTCATCCTGGTGACGACAGTATTTATCAATAATCTCTAGTGGTTTTATCATGCTGCTACGTGGAGTGCTGACGTACAAAGTTTTGTATCAATATTCCTCTCTACTCCATATAATTAAAGCTGTACGTTAAAAAGAACCACTGTTTTTGTTCTCGTCTCCGTCAGGCAGCAATAGGCTCCACAGCTTTAGACATGGCGAGAACAAAGGGGGACCAGAACCTCCAGAAGTACGGGATGGACGTTCTTACTGTGGCTGTGCTCGCCATTCTTCTCACAGCCCCTGTAGGAGCGCTGATCATTGGGCTCTGTGGGCCTCGTCTGCTGCAGAAACCAAAGACCTCAGCCAGCGGTGAGCGAGTCAAACCCAATTTATCGACATTTTTCTTGGGTACGTAAAGTCTGACATTTAAAATCTTCAGCTTGGCTCCACCCCCTGCGTGACCTGGCCTTGTAGCTTCCTGTGGTGAATCCGTCTCCCTGCCTCACCTTTGTGATAGCTTTGTTAAAGAAATTGTATAGCTTTAGGTTTCTTGTTTGGTATTAGGTTTAAAATAGAAACCTGCTTGTTAGCTTATCTTTTATTTACGTTTATTCATCATCTGACCAGTTTTTACTTAATGTTTTTTGCATGCCTACTGTTCATTTCTCCTAGGCACTGCAGCAGAAGGTGAAGAAGACAACGAAACTCCTGTCACCTTTGAGAGCACACTCTGACCTCCGCGTCCAGTGAAACGGGACATTTAATGAGACGCCTCAAACCTCAAGTTAAAGCTTTTCTTTAGCCACCGAGTGGCTCTGTTGGTCTGAATCAGTGGGTTTTTATGGTCCCAGGTGGCTTCTAAACAAATCCCCCATGCTGAAACACCTGGAGGGATGACCTTTTTGTAATGGTAGAATATGTCTCTGTAATATTCAATGAATCCAGTATGTCCTAATTTTTGTGACCGTGTTTATGAACTAGTCATCGTGCGTCATTTGAAAAGGCAATGCTCATTTTACTTTAAGCAGGGTCTTTTGGGCTTGAACATACCAAGAACAGCATTATTCTCTTAGATGTTCCAAACTTCTTGGAACCCTTTGTGTTTGTGTATTTTTTTTTTCTTTCGTTTATTTTTACTTATATATGTTAGAGGTATGTGTCGGTGAGAATAATAATTTTTAGCTTACAAAAACCTCAGGAGAAACTTTTAGCATTTCACTTTACTTTGGTTGATCCAGAATCAACAAAAATCAGCAGTTCATGCACAATGTGGCTTACAGTTTCATCTCAAGGGAACTTTTTTAGACTTTATGGACACATTTTTAAACCATTGGTAAGTAGTATTTCTATTTTTTACTGCAGAAATATGCAGTGCAATTTTATTTGTTTAAATTTTAAGGCCTCAATGAAAGGTCGTGTGTTAGAGATTATTTATGAATTTACAAGTTTTTTTAACCAAACAATAAATAAAAACACACAAAAGTTGTCTTTTTTTAATGGTTAATATCATCAGAATAATCCTGAATGACACTGTAAGGTTTAGTTTCTCATCAGTCTACTTTCTTCACAATGGTGACGAGATTCTCTGATTTGAATACAAATCCCTCCAGCAGTCCAAGTTTTCATTTATTCAAATAGAATCAACAACATGCAAATCGATGCTGCCAAGGTGCAATGCCCCATGAACTTTAGCCCCTTATTGTCCACTGGAAGCAGAACCTCACCCCAACCCAGACAAGGCAGCTGCTGCTTGCTCTCTCTGGGTGGTTAGGGGTGAGGTTCTGAAGCCAGTGGACTTCAGGTATCTTGAGGTTTTGTTCAGTGAGGGAAGAATTCAATTAAATTCAATTTAAAAATAATTTGATAATCCCAAAGGGAAATTAAGTGTTGTCGTAGCTCATCCTCCTGGTTTGGTTCAAGAGTTGTTATAGATGCTGATGGCTGTGGGCAGGAAGGATCTCCTGCAGTGAATCCAAAGAATCTGGCCACCGATTCCAATCCATCTACCCAGATCCAGCTTGCTGTCAAATCCAGCGGGCCTCTCGGTCCTCCTGGGCAGCAGGATTGCCCAAATACTGGGCAGAATTCCTCGCTGAGCGATGGTCACTCCTCCCAGCAGTCTGCCAAGCTCCTTGTCGCCACGGACAGAAGGCTGAAGGTGCCGGGGGATGATCCCGGTCCTCCCATTGTCACGAGCCAAGTTTCCCACCAGCTCCAGGATCTCGGTGGCCAGGTACTTGAGCACCACCGCCAGGTTGACGGGAATTTGTCCACGGCGCCTCCTTTTCAAACTCATTTGGGATTTGGGGCTGTAGTTGAGGTGTTTGAGCTAATTTGACTAATTTGAGGTATTTGTGAATGGAGTGTGACATTGACAAACTGATCAGTGTGGCTTCTGCAGTATTGTGGACTCTGTGCCGGTCCATTGTCGCGAAGAAGTAGCTGAACTCTGGATATCCTGCTGCATGCTCATTAATCCAGGTAGAACAATCTATCAAGGTTGAGTCAGGTCCTCTGGATGAACTCTTCTTTGTTAAAACATTTAGTCTTTTATCCAAAAGACAAAGAAGACTGAAGAAGTCTTTTGAATAAAGACGAAACGTTTCATCAAAGAAGAAGCCGTCCAGAGGACCTAACTTAATCTGGTTAGATGAACTCTGGGTAGTGATCTAAAGAATGAGCTCATGGATCCAAGAGGTCTAGATGAGCTCTCTACAGGGTAGCTGGACTCTCCCTCAGAGATAGGATGAGAAGTTCAGTTCTCCAGGAGAGACTGAGTAGAACCACTGGTTCTCCACACCCAGAGAAGGCAGTTGAGGTGGTTCAGACATCTGGTAAGGATGGACCCCAGACGCCTCCATAGGGAGGTTTTACAGACATGTCCAGCTGTGAGGAGACTTCAGGGAAGACCCAGGACACTAGAGAGACGTCTCTCAGCTGTTCTGGGAACACCTTGCCAGTCCTCCAGGAAAAGCTGGCTGTGGAGGGAGAACTGGACCTTCCTGGTTAGGCTGCCCCCCCCCCCCCCCCCCCCTCCCCGACCCGAGTCCAGAACCAGAGGAAGATGATGGAAGGATGGATGTGTTGTGTTTGAGTAAAATTTGGTTTAGACTGAAATGTTTACAAAAATATATTTAATCCAAAGCACAGCTTTACATTAAAAAACTTGTTCTGCTCAGTGATAACCGGAGTGGCTGTACTTTGGGATCACAAAGACAAAGAAAAGTTTCCCATTCCTCTCATTTTAACCTTTTATTTACTGTATTTAGCATAAATAAGTTTGTACATTAGAGTGAAACGTCTCCACAACAGAATCCTGCAGTCATCAGATCTGATCAAGCATCGTCGAACTAAACGGGGGAAATTAATTTAGTTGTTTTTCTAAAGAATTATCAAAAGGTCAAATAGCTGCCTGCAGCTGATTCTGTTTTAATAGAAACTCTTGATCTAAGTTAACAAAGAGGCAAACAATTAAAACATAACGTATTAATTTTCAGGCTTAATTATCAAACTTCTTTTGGCTCAGAGTGACGAGTTCCTCAAACAGTTACGTCTGCTAAAACAACTTAAACATGACTTCCTCTTTACATTTAGGATGAATAAAGTCAAAGTGTAGTATATCTATTCATATTCAAAATATTCATCCACATTTGGAAAATGCAGATGGGATAAAAATGAAATATTGCAGAGGTACAAAGTACTTCCACAGTCAGCTATACAGAGTTTTAATAAAGCTGCAGTTTTTTAAACTGTCAAAAGGTTAGTAAGGCTAAAACTGCAAACAGGAGAATTTTAGTCAATGCAGAGATTTGAAATTTAAATATAACAGAATATTAAGAAGAACCACACAATTACATTTAATTTAGAAAATCTCACATCCTACGAGTTCGTGTTTGTTCAAATTTGGCACGTAGGTTGGCTTAAGCACAGAAAACAAGATGAACTAAAACTAGAGTGGTCCAAAATAAAGAGTACAAGACACAAAGTGTCAAGTACATGTGCATCTCAGATAATTAGAATATTGTGAAAAAGTTCAATATCTCTTGTCAATAACTTCAGAAAGTGAAACTCATTGATTAGAACTTGGAGATGATGAAAAACCAAAAGAAAATAAGAATTTAGTGAACAGGTTCAGTATTGTGAACTCCTGGTGTCTCACCCTGATCAGCTGATTAACTCCAGGACATGAGCTACAAATGTCTCATTCCTCAAGTCCAGACACTTCTAAACCAGAGACAATGTCAGAAGTGTCTTACCTGCTGAGGAGACAAAGAACTGGACTGTTGCTCAGTGGTCCAATGTCCTCTTTTCACATTAAAGTACATTTTCATGTCATTTCTGGGGTCTAGAGGAAGAGAAGTCCAGAATCCACGTTGCTTGAAGTTCAGAGAGAAGTTTCCACAGTCAGGGATGGTTTGGGTCCATGTCCTCTGCTGGTGTTGGTCCACTGTGTTTTCTAAAGACCACAGTCCACATAACATCTAGCAGGACATTTTAGAGACTTCATGCTGCTTCTGCTGACGAGCTTTATGGAGATGCTGATTTCATTTTCCAACAGGACTCAGCACCGGTCCACACTGACAAAGGTACCAACAGCTGGCTCTGGAATATTCTTATTTATCCGGTACTTTTTTTTTCTTCATTATTTGTAAACCATCATAATCAAAATTACAAGAAATAAAGGCTTGAAATGTTTCACTCTGTAATGAATCTGAGTTTCACGTTCTGAAATGTACAAAAAAGTTTAACTTTTTCACGATAATTAAATTTTTTTTTACTCAGCTGTACAGGTTGGACCGTTAAACAGGAAATTACATTAATATGGGAGGAAAACTCCTGCCCCAATAAGTTAAGATGATTAAATTTACCGCAACTTGTCTCCTTTAAGTGGTCCCTCTGATTGCAGTCGATGCCAAACAGACTCTGGGACAAACACATTGTTACTCTTACCAGGCCGTCGTGTTGACAGTGGATGAAGAACACTGGGCCAACAACCAAAAAATAAAGAAAGTACTGACAAAGGAAAAACTCCTGTCTGTGTTCAGTTAAAGTATCTTCTTTTTAAGTATGAGTGGTCCCACGTTGTCTCCGGTTAATTCATTGTGCTTTAAGTGAGACTTGTCACAAACAGGAAACTGAAAACAGAATACAATGTTTTATTAGCAAAGTTGCTTTTTTAAAAGATACACAAATTAAACAATGTTGAAATTAAAAAGCTGCCTTCAGCAGCTAGTGTGGGAAACTAAATAATTCAGGCCTGTAGACTCAGTAACTTCCACCACGACTCAGCTGAAGGCTGGACAACAAACGGGTCCACTTACCGTTTTGGAACGCCAGCAGCGACAGTAACACACGTTTGCGCTGTTCAGGTCCTCGATGTCTATCTCGTTGACCACTTTAGGGTTCTCCTTCTGGATCTTCAAGTTAATCAAGCTGTCTTTCTGCTTCTTCTTCTTGGGCAGAAATGGGCGGATGGTCAGATAGCCCAGCAGGGCCAGGATACCAAGGAGCGGCAGCAACCGCAGCCACTCTGACACTACGGACATGAAACACATCAGTAACGAACCAGAACAAGAACTTTAAACCAACATTTATCACTCTGGGTCACCTTATCTTCCAAAGTGGGGTCTGTAGAAAGGTTATGAGCCATTGATAGCTTACTTGTTGTAACTAGCTCCTTAGCTAAAAACAAAGTGTCACAGTTATGGTGTCTTTGTGTGTGCATGAGTTTGTGTTTTGGAGCTGTGTCCCATGACTATCTGAGCAGGACACTGGAATCAGTGGGGAAAACTTTTTTTTTCCCCCCTTGTCCTGTCCAGCATTGAGTCACTCAGAATTATTGTCTGAGTGTCAAGGTGATGCCCAACAGATTTACTTTCACAAGAAGAGCATTATGGCTGGCCTTAATGCTCCATTTGATATATAAATTAAATTTTATTAGAATTTGCTTTGGGTTTGTTTCAGATGTAATGAACACGGGGATGAAAAACTAAGCAGAAAAAGCAGAAAAGTGAGAGAAGGGTTAAAAGGGAAAGAAGGAGATACCATACCATACCACTTTATTTATAAAGCACTTAAAACAGCTACAAGGCCAACCAAAGTGCTGTACAGACAGAACAACAGGTAACACACAAAGCAAAATACAAAATGAGGTAAATCAGAATATAGACAAAAAACGATGCAGATAATGACGACAAACCAGTGTGGAGTGTACAGGATCAAAACACAGATCATCTTGTGTTGAAAGCTATTGAATAGTAGTGAGTTTTTAAACAGGACTTGAAAACCGAGAGGGAGGGGGCCTGTCTGACAAGCAGAGGTAACTCGTTCCAGAGTCTTGGTCCTGCCACAGAGAAGGCCCCGTCACCTCTGCGCCTAAGACGAGTTCCTGGAACTGTGAGGAGCAACTGGTCCGCTGACCTCAGGGAGCGTGGTGGGACATAAGGTTGTAGCAAATCAGAGATATGGGGTGGGGGGGTGGGGGGACGACACTGTTCAGTGATTTGTAGACATACATGAGTATTTTGAACTGGATTCGAAAGTGAACCGGTAACCAGTGCAGTGAGGCCAAAACTGGTGGAATGTGCTCTCTTTTGCCTGTACTGGTTAAAAATTGGGCTGCTGCATTCTGGACCAGTTGTAGTCGTGCAATGGAGGTCTGACTGATACCAAACAGGAGCGAATTGCAGTAATCAAGCCTAGATGTAATGAATGCATGCATTACTGTCTCCAGGTTCTTTTTGGACAATATGGGCTTCAGTTTAGACAGCCGCCTCAGTTGGAAGAAGCATGATTTAACAATCATGTTTACATGATTGTTAAGTTTCAGGGAAGGGTCCATTATTACGCCCAGATTAGTGACTCTTTGTTTTTCTGACAGGGTTAGAGCGGAAAGGTCGATGCAGCGGTTTGTGATCGTGTCGTTGGGAGGGAACAACATGACTTCGGACTCCTTTTCATTGAAACTTAAGAAGTTTAAAGCCATCCAGTCCCTGATGTCAGCCAGGCAGTTGAACGGCAGTTGAATAGAGCATGTACCATTGTGTCTTAGGGGGAAGTAAATTTGACAGTCGTCGTCATAGAAGTGGAAGGGCATGTTGTGTTTCCGGAAAATAGCACCAAGCGGCAGCAGGTATAAAGAGAATAGGAGGGGACCCAGTATGGACCCGTGCGGAACCTCCCATTTAAGCTCTGCCTCTGCAGAACTAAAATCCTTGATGGAGACACAAAAGGATCCGTCAGTGAGGTAAGAGCTGAACCAATTGAGGGCTGACCCTGTGACGCCCACCTACTGCTCTAACCTAGCAATGAGGATCTCATGGTCGATGGTGTCAAAGGCGGCTGAGAGGTCCAACAGGACAAGCAGCACAGAATCACTGGTATCTGTGAATCTGAAGATGTCATTAAAGACCTTCAGCAGGGCAGTTTCAGTGTTGTGGAGAGGTTTAAAGCCAGATTGGAAAAGCTCTAAGATGGTGTGATCCTCCAGGAAGCACTTCAACTAGGACTCGACTATTTTCTCTAGTACTTTAGAAACAAATGGGAGTTTGGAGACAGGCCGGAAGTTGGAAACGACTGAGGGGTCAAGGTTTGTTTTTTTCAGGAGAGGCTAGACGGCAGCATGTTTAAAGGATTTTGGCACCACGCCAGTGGATAAACTACTGTTTACTATATCAAGAATGGACGGACCTAGAATAGGAAAAACCTCTTTTAGTAGTCGAGGGGGGACCACATCAAAGGGGGAGCCAGAAGGTTTCAAGCTGCACATGACCTGCTCTAGAGAAGATAAGAGTGATGGGTTCAAAATGGTCAAAAGGAGCTACAGATTGAGGTGGGATGGATGGGTCATGAGTTGGAGGGGAAATGAGAGCCCTGGTGGTCGCAATTTTTTCCACAAAGAAATGTAGGAAGTTGTCGCACAGCTCAGTCGAGGCTTCCAGAGGTGATGGTTCAGTGAGGTGGAGAACAGAGTTTAGGGTGGAGAAGAGGACACGTGGGTTGTGAGAGTTTGAGGTAATTATATGAGAAGAATTTTGATTTAGCAGCTTTTACTGTTTTCTGATAACAGCGCCAACTCTCTTTAAGTATCTGGAAAGAGACCTGCAGCCTGTCTTTCTTCCACTTTCGTTCTGCCCTCCTACATTGCTGCCTAGCGGCCTTGGTGACGTCATTCAGCCATGGTTCTGCTCTGAGTTTTGATTTTTTGGTTTTAACAGGTGCAACGTGATCCATAGTCTTTAAGCAGACAGAGTTGAACTGGGATGTCAGCTCCTCAGTGGTGGTGAGAAACACTGGGGGCTGAATGATCATTTCAGAGTTATAAACATCTGTGAAACGTGCGGCAGTGAAGTGGTTAATGGTCCGAGTGCGACGTGCAGGAATGCACGGCTTAGGAGTTAGATGGGGGAGGGTGAACTCAAACCGGACTGGCATGTAGTCTGAAAAAACATTATCACCAATAACAAGATTATTAACAGTCATATCATGAGTTAAAACAAGGTCCAGTGTATGTCCGCGCTCTTGGGTGGGACCGTTTACATGCTGAGTTAAATTAAATGAGTCCAATAAATCTAAAAAGTCCTTAACCAAAGGCTTCTCAGGACAGCACACGTGCAAATTAAAGTCACCAATAATGAAAAGATGCTCATATTTTGGAGTGATTTCAGCCAAGAAGTCAGAAAACTCATTTATGAAATCCTTAGATCGAGGTGGACGGTAGACGAGTGCAAATAACGTCGGAGGTGAATGTCCGAGTTCAAAGACGTTCAGCTCAAAGCTGGCGCGGGAAACTGGGATGGGTAGTTGTTTACAGTCAAAAGTTGATTTGAATATTGTTAATAATCTACCACCGCGCCGGCCTGATGGCCGCGGGGCATTAAAACACAAACTGTTCGGTGGCGGTAATTCCGTCAAGGCGCTGGACTCACCGGGAGACATCAAAGTCTCTGTGATGCACAGAAAGTCCAGATTGTGCTCTTGAAAGTAATCCCTGAGGATAAAAGTTTTGTTGGTAACAGATCTTGCGTTGACCAAACACATCCGGATACTGTCCGAAGTAGAGCCAGCTGCGGTGGAGTTAGCGCGCGCTAATGGCCGCAGGTTTTCAATAACAGCCCCTCCAGGTCGGTCCGGGCTGCGCAACGGCTGACAACTCACGCTGGTTACCTGGTCCGGGCACGCGGGAAGCTGGAGACCATGACCGCCAGCTGAAGAGGAAGATGCAGCGCGCAGAGCTTTCAGCTTCACCAGCTGACCAGCACGTTTTCCCCGGCGTCTGAAGCGAGATCTCCGGGCAGGGAGCTGAGGAGCGCAGCGAAAGTAAGCTGGCACGTCCGCCAGCGGGGGGTGGGGGGGTGGGGGGTGGGGTCCAGAGGTACGCTGATAATGGTCCAGATAAGCAACATCAAGAGGCAATGAGGGGTTCAGTGTCTTGCCTAGGGACACTTCGGCATGTGACTGCTGGTAGAGTGGAACCCCCAACTCTTGCATTGGAGAACGACTGCTCTAACCACTCAGCCACAGCCACCAATAGCAATGACCCAGACAAGCAGAGACCTTGTTTTTAATTTTGATCTTGATTTGTGGCCTTCACCTTAGAGCTGGTGTGATTTAAAAGAGCGTGCAACATTCTTTTTATTGATCATACAGATAAAGAGTTTCTTTATTGTTGTTCGCATCACGTGTGGTACATGTGGTGGAGCGAGATTATGTACACAGGGTCCCAGTTACATCCATCCAACAATAAAATGTAAAAGAAAAACAGTAATAACATGCAAGATATGAACTAAGAAAAACATCAACTAAATATACACTAACCACTAATAGCATAAAAACAATATGCCGAACAGCAGCACGAACATGAGTCAGTGTGAGCATATGAATAAGAAGGAGCACAGCAACATGAAACAGATCAGCAGCAACCAGTGGTGGGATGTAACAAAGTACAAGTACTTCGTTACTGTACTTAAGTACACTTTTCATGCATCTGTACTTTACTTAAGTAGAGTTAAACATGGGTACTTTTTACTTTAATTTCACTACATTTTAGATCAAGTATCTGTACTTTCTACTATACTACATGTCTATAATGCGTTGTGTTACAAATTACATTCACGTTGCAACGTTTTTATTTGTTTGTTAATTTGAAAGTAACCAATGGCGAGAGGGGAGTTGGTCCATTGACTCAATGCAAAAATGGGCAGGTAACGTTAGACCCACCTTCAAGAAGAGCTATATTCTAGTATATACATCACTGAGGTGGGCACACCCACAGCGTCGCTAACACACCCAAAATTAATTCCACCGAGGAAAGTCAGCCAGAAGATACAGTACGTGCCACCCATGGCCTTATTGAAAGACTATTGAAAGAAAGACTATTGAAAGATTATTCAGTACAACAGGACAGATTTTATCTCCCAAAAGAGCCAGCCTGGACTTAAAAAAAACTTTGAAAACCAACTTCTTCTGAACTTGAACAGGAAATTCTTGCTGCAATATTAAAATGTGTCAATTCATGGGATGTTAGAACAGGAGAAG